CAGATCGCAACTTAAAAGACGAACAAGTGGCAGCTTTTAAGGTTGAGAACTCAAGTTCCTTGATTCCATTATGGGCTTTTCCTCTTTTCTGTTTCTTCACCAGCTCTGTTCCCATGCAGATTTCCCCTTTTTCGCCTTCTGCTTGCAGGGGGGTCAAGTTCTCCATTTTCCATTTTCTATGCGGTTTAGGAGGGTGAGGGGGCAGATGGCACTGAGGTAGAGGACTGAGTACAGAGGGCTGCCAAGACTTGAAGAGGAGTAAAACTTTAAAACATAAAAAGGGGAGAAGGTTTGAAGGCTGGCAGGGGGATTGGGGAAACCAGGCGAAAAACGAGAGAAAGAGACATAGAATCAACATTTTGGATATCTCCAGCCAGGCATCTGCAGACCTAGTCTCTGCTAAGGAATTCTGCAGTCAGCTAATAACAGGCAGTTCGCAGGGCTCTCTCGTTTTGCACCTAAATGATAAAGTACAGCTTCAATTCCAGAAGAAAAGTCTTTTCCTTTGCTTCCAGAGCCTTCAAATTCACCGTGCTCTCACTAGATTCGCCTTCTTCTGACATATAGTAAATGCAGTTAAAATGCAGTTGTCAGCAAAAACAGCTCCCCTTTGTACATAGGCACAAGTGCCTGAAGGATACCTCTGGGAAAGAGATCCCTGGAATCGAAACCTGCAGATGGGGAAGAAAGAACAAAAAAAGTAGATTTACTGCCACCTTGTGGTCAGAAATTTAACCTTGTTTTTTGTTTTTTGTTTTTTGTTTTAATTTATTTTGAAAGAGAGTGAGAGCGAGCATGAGCGGGGAATGGGGAGAGAGAGAGAGAGAGAGACAGAGAGACAGAGAGAGAGAGAGACAGACAGACAGAGAGAGAGAGAGAGAGAGAACGCCAAACAGGCTTTACACTATCAGCACAGAACCCAATGCGGGGCTTGAACTCACCACCTGAACTGAGATCAAGAGTCGGATGCGTAACCAGCTCAGCCACCCAGGTGCCCCTAACCTTGCCTTAAAGCTTCCAATCAGTAGTAAATGCGGGAAGGAAAACTCAAGAGAAGGTCGGAATGATTAAATGGGCAAGTCTCTGACAGAGGTGGGGAAGGAGGGGTTCAGAAATTCCCCCAGCTTCTCCCTGGCAAGAAGAAGACAGTATATGGAATGTGGAAGCCGCTTCACTCACAGGGTCAGCAAAGAACAGGAAACTTACAAGTGGGGCATCAAAGGAGAGCCATCCTCCCAGAGCCATGAGCTGCTCGGCTTCCTCAGAGACAACCCTATCCAGAACGGGAAACTGGAATGGGCGCTTGCTCGCTGGATGAATTCCTGTGGGGAGTGATAGTGATCGAAATTGATGATAAAGTCAGTGTGGTCGTTTTAGATTAGAATCACAAAACTGCAGAACCAAAAGAGATCTTTGACATCCTTTCTGTAAGGAATGTTTACGAAGCTGAAGATACTATGTAACCTCTCTATCCCGGGTCATGTGTGTACTTAGTGGCCAGATGAGGCCAGAAAATAAGTATTCTGTTACTCAAACAAGTGCTCTTCCCCCAAGGGTGTAAACCAGGTTTGTTTCCCATAAGGCAATACTCCAGCCCAACATACAACCATAAAAACTCACCAGATCATCTGTGCTGTTAATTTTCAGCATGTGGGCATCCAAAGACAAGCAATGGTTCTGGCTTTTTTCCCAATTAAATGGGCCAGAGGAGTATAGGTAACAGTTTGCTTCATGCCAGAGCCAGTCTTGGGGACAAGGAGCTAGGAAGATAGCATATCTAATCAGTGAGTGATGCCTGAGTAAAAATATGTCTACAATTCTTAAGTCTTCCCTCAGGACAGTCACATGTATATCATTTCCTCCTCCTCTTCTTCTTCTTCTCTTAAGTTTTACTTATTTCTTTTGAGAGAGAGAGGGGGAGGGGAGGCAGAGAGAGACAGAGAGAGAGAATCTCACCCAGGTTTCGCACTGTCAGCACAGAGCCTGACACAGGGCTCGAACTCACAAACCACGAGATCATGATCTGAGCCGAAATCAAGAGTCCGATTCTTAACCAACTGAGCCATCCAGGCACACCACCTATCATCCCTTCTTAATTAGAATTATACCCAGACTCTGCAAATCCCTCAAGAGACTCAGAGTCTTTATTTCTCTTAAAGTATTCTGATTTTAGTACACTAAATTAAAAGCAAGGCTGTCGAAAAGAAAAATTGAGCTGACATGTAACTTGAGAATCTGATCTATTTAAAAAAAAAATTTTTTTTTTACATTTATTTATTTCTGAGACAGAGAGAGACAGAGCATGAACAGGGGAGGGGCAGAGAGAGAGGGAGACACAGAATCTGAAACAGGCTCCAGGCTCTGAGCTGTCAGCACAGAGCCCGATGCGGGGCTCGAACTCACGGACCGCGAGATCATGACCTGAGCCGAAGTCGGTCTCCCAACCGACTGAGCCACACAGGCGCCCCTCTGATCTATTTTTTAAAGTTCTGTTTGGAGTAATGGAAGTAAAAGTTTGGGGAATGGATACATAATAGCAATTCTGCTATTAAAAACATACACCGGGGGCACCTCGCTGGCTCAGTCGGTGGAAGGCCTAACTCCTGATCTCAAGGTTGTGAGTTTGAACCCCACGCTGATCGTAGAGATAATTTAGAAATAAAATCTTTATAAAAAAAAGTATGCTTATGTATTTAAAAACTTCGGTTTTTCAAATAATGAATTTAGGTTTCAATACTGTGCTTACTGGGGGCATCTGGGTGGCATCAGTCAGTTAAGCGTCCGACTGATTACGGCTTAGGTCATGATCTCACAGTCATGATCTCACCTTTGTGTGATTGAGCCCCTCCATGTTCAGCATGGAGCCTGCTCGGGATTCTTTCTTGCCCTCTCTCTCTTCCCCTGCCCCAACTCTTGGCACACGGCGTGCCTGCGTGTTCTCTCCCTCAAAATAAATAAACGTGAAAAAAATTACTGAGCTTCCTGTTTCTAGACATGTGCCGTTCAATACATAGCCATATGTGGCGTTCGAACCACCTGTATTTCTTTTAATTTTTTTAAAAGTAAATCCTACCTCCAAGGTGGGACTTCAGCTCACAGCTCCAAGGTCAAGAGTCACACACTCCACCACCTGAGCCAGCCAAGCACCCCTCGTTTAATTAAAAAAAAACTTTTTGTTTTATTTAACAAAGGCAACATCACTATGGGCCCCAAAATGTTGGCAGTTCTTTCCACATGTTAACTCGTTTCATCCTCATAACAACATGGCCAAATAAGTTTCATTCCTGTTCTTCGTTGGGCACACGGAGGAAATGGGAATGTATGGGAATGGGAACCTTGGCAGGTCCCTCGAGGAACCGCGTGTTGAATCGCTACATGGCACCACCTCTCAAACTCCTGAGTTTGAATCAATTGAAGAAATATTTCTTGGTGCCCTTCGAGACATTTTGGTACAGAATCTTGGGGTAAACGTGGACATGGCCATTTCTTAAGAGCTACCGGAGTGGCAATGTTGCACGCCGAAGGTTGACAGCCACCGCTAATTTCGTACTCAAAACTTGTCTCAAACTTGAGAAGCTGGTTAGTTGTTTGCATGTAGTATTTTACTATTAATGTTTTTGAGAATCTTCTGCTTGGTGAAAAGCGGTACTTTATCTGCCATCTCTACTAATTGGCCTTTATCTGACGCGGTCAAGGAATGGAATGTTTTACCTGGGCTATCCACCAGTGAAAAACACATTGTTTATTATTTTTGATTGGTTGTCCATGCCTGGAATCTCTGGGAGATGGTTCCGGATGGCCGTGATGTGGATTTAATCTCACACAACTGATTAAAAAAATGGTTTCACAGCCCCACCTGGGGAATAAATCATTTGGTTGGTATGTGGCTATGTCTGCTTATGTAAACATTCCTGTCCTTGATATATTAGTCTCCTTCCTTACACCTTTTTAGAGATGATGTAGTCTTTTCGTTTCCTCGATAGCTCCCTCTTCAATAAAGAGTTGAGGGGCGCCTGGGTGGCTCAGTTGGTTAAACGTCTGACTCGACTTCAGCTCAGGTCATGATCTCACGGTTCGTGGGTTCAAGCCCCGCATTGGGCTTGGGATTCTGTCTCCCTCTCTCTCTGTTCCTCCTCTGCTTGCTCTCTAGCTCTCTCTCAAATAAAAATAAACTTAAAAAAATTACTTAATAAAAAGATGAAATAACATGTTTGACACTTGCTAAAGATCAATTTATCTAAAAATCTCTCTTTTTTTGGAAAGTTAAATAACCCTCTAAATATTGAAGGGCTTTATTAACTCCAAAACTTTATAAAACCTATGTATCGTTATTATTATCATTTAACTTATCTGGCTATCAATTTTTCGCATCCTTAAACCAAAGCGATCTGTGGGTATTTGCGAACTGTTATCACATAATCCTTTTTCAAATAAATTACATCGTTGAGATCCACTGACATGTACAAGCAAGAAACTGGAGAAATCTTTGTTTACTAGTGGTAGTTAGTTACTAATGCTGAGAATAGGGCATCCTTCATACACCTTCAAGGAAGCAATGCATCTCTGAAAGGATCTCCGTCTCACATCCCTTAAATCTCCCTATGATGAAAAGCATATGCCTGATTTAATTGCATGCTGTAGAAAGACTAAATGACACAGATAACTCTGTAATAAGAGCAGAATTCACATCATCATCCCCTTCTTATAGATGCTGTGTCCACCTGCCTCCTAGATTCTGAGATTAAATCAATTCTTCTTAGATAAACTGAATTTCTGGGCTCTTCGTATTTTTTTTTTTTTTTCTTATCTAAAGTACCTACCCAACACTTCAGGTCAGCCTGCCTCCGCTGATTTAATTTAAACAGATGTAGCGTATTTTAAGAAATAGTGTTATAGCATAAAGTTCATGTAGAGCTACCCAGGGACAAAGGAAACCCCGTAGGAAAAGAAATCAATGATTCAGATACATTAGAATGGAAAGAAGTAAAGAATCTGTGGCAAAGGGTAGGGGTGGGAGCATTCTTCCAGAAAAGTCTCAAAACTAGAATCTTAAAAATTGAGAAGAGTTCGGGGCGCCTGGGTGGCTCAATCGGTTGAGCACCTGACTTGGGCTCAGGTCATGATCTCCCGGGTTCCTGAGCGGGAGCCCCACAATGGGCTCGCTGTTGCAGCCTGTCAGCACAGAGTCGACTTCAGATCCTCTAACCCTCTCTCTGCCCCTCCCCTGCTTGCGCTTTCCCAAAAATAAATACTTAAAACAAATTTTTTTTTAAGTAAAGAAGAGATCCCTCTCCACCCTCCATACCTGAAAAGTTTGCTGCTTTCCTCAGAGCTTCTTGGAGATTCAGGTTCTGGTGATGAAGTTCCATCTGTTTCTTCGATTTTTCATCCAGCTTCTGGGTAAGGTTTTTTATCATCTCCTTGAGTTCCTTTTCTGACTCCTGGGAAGCTTTTTCTGCCTGCTGCTGTGCTAAAATCTGTCCCTCCAGTATAATTTCCTGGTGGGTAAGGTTTGCTTGATGTTGCTTTAGGAGACCAGACACCTGTGATACTAAATCAGAGCTGAAATAAGAACTCCATTTACCAATCCCCAGTAAAAATCCCTCCACTGGATTTTGAGGAAACCAAAGAATCCAATCAAATAATCTATTTTGACAGCAAAAAAAACAGCTGGAAAATGACCCAGATTTACTCAGAAATTATGGATTAAAAAGTTATTGGGTATTTCTGCAGTATTTTGTCTAAATATCAGGAACTGTCACGAGCACTTTTGATCAAACAAAACGAAATAGGATTTTACTTATTATTGATGGTTACAGACAAGTTTAAAAGCAATCATAAGTGGTATATCAGTGACATAAATAAAATACAGACAGTCTGAAATAGATGCTAACCAGACTCATTATCAAGAGCAATTGTCATTAATGATCTACTGTTTGTTTCTTTATTCTTCTGCTAACTCACTACCCTTTTGAACTTCCCAATTTTATTTAAAAACTGTGACACCCTTTTATTGGAGACACAGATTTTAAAATTTTTTTTTTTTTAACGTTTATTTATTTTTTTGGGACAGAGAGAGACAGAGCATGAACGGGGGAGGGGCAGAGAGAGAGGGAGACACAGAATCAGAAACAGGCTCCAGGCTCTGAGCCATCAGCCCAGAGCCCAACGCGGGGCTCGAACTCACGGACCGCGAGATCGTGACCTGGCTGAAGTCGGACGCTTAACCGACTGCACCACCCAGGCGTCCCATGGAGACACAGATTTTAAGTTGCTATGTCAGAACAGTTTCAAATGTTTTTTGTTTCTTAGGATTTTTTTTTTTTTTTTTTTTTTTTTTTTTTTTTTTTTTTTTTTTTTGCCTTTTCTTCAGCACATTTTAGGAAGGGTGAGGAGAGCATAAAGTTTGTGAAATCTAGCAGGCCAACTAATATTAAGGGTCAAATGTCTCAGTTCTGGAAGCTTGATGGTTCGGTACAAAACAGACCCCTTGGCTTGAAGACCAGATCTGACTCTGTTGTAAAGTGATTCTTCTCACAGGAGGACTCATCCAGTCACCACCACTGAGTCAAGGGCACTTCTTCTAGTCATTAGGGAAGGCCTTAAGTGTTAACAGATCAAAAAAATAGTTTGTGATCTTAACCAACAACTGAGAGACAAATAGCACTTAAAGGCTGTAATGATCTAGATTCTAGATAGATGAAATAACCCAGATCCACAACTTAAATACACAGGCAGATGAGGCGGGTGATCTGTACCATTTTCATTCCTTCTTGGGCATTCTCATTCTTCTTATCACTTCTTTTCCTGTCAACATCCTCTTTTCTGAATGGCCATATTATAAATTCGAATTACATTTATTTTAAGTGTTTCATTTATTAAGAGGGTGTTTCTGATTCTTAAATTTATTTTTTAACTTTATTTATTTATTTTTGAGAGAGAGAGAAAGAGAGAGAATGAATTCCAAGCAGCCTCCGTGCCATCCTCATGAAGCCCGACACAGAGTTCAAACTCACAAACCAATCATGAGATCATGACCTGAGCCGAAATCAAGAGACAGATGCGTCACTGACTGAGCCACCCAGATGCCCCTCTGATTCTTAACTTTAAATTGGTATTTAATCACCTCTATTAAAACTCAGTGTGAACTGTATGACATTTCTTTTCCTTGTGGGTCTCTTAGGGGATCTCGTGGCTTAATTGCTTCCAATTATTTTCTTTCTCATCATTCCAGGATTTAAACAGACTTTACCCATGAAGTTATAAAAACAAAACAAAACAAAACAAAAACCCACCATTCATAATCTTCATTCCATGTCCCAGTCAACTTGAGGGATAAGCACAATACACTTACTCATCTTCCAGCTCATTCTAAAAACAGTTTGCCTAAAACGCATCCAAATCAAGGATGTTTGTAGTTGTTATGAAACCAATGAATTAACCACGTTTGCAAGTTCTCACTTTGTCCTCCATCATTTCCCTGTGCTAGTACTTACCTTGCATTATCAGCATGATAAGAGTCACCAGTAATCCCAAGCAAAGGACCCCTAGAAGCACAGCGGCAGGACACCACCACCGAGAAGAAAGAAAATAAAGACCTAGAATGATAGAGGATTGAATCAGAAGGACATAAACGATGGACGCAAGACGTCAAGCAATTCTTTGGAAACTGTACCTGGTACTTTGCACTCCTTACCTCTAGTCCTCCCAAGGGCTCTGCCAATAGTTCATTACCCATATTTATAGATGAAAAATACAGATAATATAAGTAATTTACCCATGGTCACACATTTGACGCTGTTTAAGAGCCAGGATTCAATACCAGGTATGTGATGTTAGGTATTCGATTCTAAAGCTTACTCATCTATTCTCCCTACAATGACTTTCCAAGAAACCCTCAGTCCAACTTTGTTCGATCAACTTTATATTTTTAGTATAGATTGTGTGTGCGCATGTACACGCACACATACACACACACACTTCACATACAGTGTGTTTTATAAGTAGCATACCATAAAAGAAGGTCAGATACCAAGCAAATAAGCTTTAGTCAGTTAATCAACAGATTGTCTCAAAGAATTGTTTTTGTGCTTTCAAGTTTCATTCTACTGAAATTACATCTTGGAACTGAGGTTATTGACCAAACAAAAATAGGAATGCAACTTCAATACTACTCTGACTCATATTAATGTCATGTCCTATACTCACACCAGCTGTGGCCCTGTAGTTGCAAGAGGAAAGTTCATCATTATTATAGATAAAAATAAATCATGTAGCTTCCAGGTATATGAATGCCTAATTATGTGTTCCATCACTAAAAAAAGCCCAGATATTTTGGTTCAGCAGGAAAATATCTCACATAACGCATCTGGACTTCTCACCCTGTACAATACACAAATAAGGCACTGGTCATGTTATCCTTTATATGTAGACAAGGAAACCCAAAGTTTCAGTGAATTGTACAAGATCACACAGATGTTAAGATCCAAACATAGGCCTTTAATCTGTTAGCTGATATGCAGCTTAGAACACTGCATCACAAATTTCCAGTGTGAATGTGCAATGATCCAAATCAATTAATGGTCGAATATATTCACAGAGTTCTCATTATGTCAAAAGCACTTCTGTTAGACTTCAGAGATGAGACAGACACAATAGAAAGTGTAACAGGAAGAAATACAGTTCATTCACTGGTTCAAAAGTTGTTAAGCTCCTAGAGTGTATATGGCAAATTGGCAGAGAAGTAGGAGATAGTTGTGTCTCTTGCAAATAATTGCCTAATCCTAGCTTGGGGGTAGATATCTGTGTAAATCTTTCAACCAATATTTCCCTTTGGTCCGTATTCATTCTATACTATAGAAGACCAAATATGTCTACCACTCTTGAGCAATGAAACTCCTGAATTTTTAGAAGAAATCACAGGATCCACATCTGTGTGGGGAAGGCACATACTCCCATTTTCTACAGGTCACCCTTTGTCCCATTTCCTGGGTAGGTAGAGACCATTAACCCAATCTCGGCTCCCGGTAGTGATTTTCTGATCAGAAAGCAATTGGATTCTTTGTAGTAGGTGATTGATCTAATCAGGTTCTGAGAGAAGATTTAGCTTCATAATGGTAATAAAATTCAGGCCTATTTACTACATGAAGAATGAGTGAATGAATGAATGAATGAATGAACAAATGACTATTGTTGACTTGTAGGTTTACCTGTAAATGACAGCACTGTTTTCATACCAAGTTAAGTTCAGCAACTCAAATGTTCAATCATTCCATGTTCAAACTTATTTTCCCTGTTGAGGGAAATTTCTATCTTGTTTATGGGAACATGACCTGGAATGTCTTTATCCAAATTCCTGACAACACTTGTATTGTACAAATACAACTTCCCCTATTTGTATTTTATTCCTTTCTCTGGGAATGGGTATAAGATAAAAGGCAATTTACTCAGACTGTCTGTGGAATTGGGATTATGAATTAATTTACATTTAAGGAGTTTAACTTACCGTATATATCAAAAAATTACAATTTTCAAGTCAGTGGTACACAATAAGACGTGATTTGCGCTCAACTATACTGAGTACCATTTCATCTGCTTTGGATAATTCATAAAACGATATCCTGTTTTTGCAATGCCTCAAGAAGACTTGTTATAAAAAGTATCATTGTATACACTGGGTGAATTCAACATCTCCTTAACCTTCTGATGGATTGGATTCTTGATAAAGAGGAGGTTGTGATACAATTCTAGCTGCCTGAAAATGAGTGGTTTTGTTAATTCCCCTGATCCCCAATTAGTCCTCTGTAAAAGGGGGGATTATAATAGTCCTAATTTCAAGATGTAAAGATTCAGAGAAGTAATGCACGTAGAGAGGATATCAGAGAACACAGCCTATGATAAATGTTCCATAAAAATTATTAGTATCTGCTACATCATCATTCAAAGCAAGTTAGTTCATTCACATCTAATTTTTCTTTCTTTTAAGCAAGTGTTACTAATTCTACACTGTTTTTCCACACTCTGGTGTTTAAGCTGTCTGATCCTCTATTCAGTTCCTTTACATGTTGAGCTAATCCTGGAATTCTGTCCCTATGTACGTTCACCCACCCCTAGTACCTTTAGCTTTCTCTCCATTTGGCTTCTGGTCGGGTTGGTCTTTCATAGCCGTACTCTTAAGGTCATCAAAAATCATTTCCAAATTCACTCCAAGAATGAGAGAGTGAAGCAGTCAAGGACTTCTGCATAAAGTAAAAATTGGTGAGCTCCTGCTGGAGTGTTTAAATAGCTACTGCTATCTATCTAATTGAAGAATGACTCAATCATTGGTAGGAGGAAGAAGAGGCTTTGCTTCACACTGGGAAGTCGGCTGACGCAAATTCTTGGGTTATGTCTATTGCAAGTGGGGAAAGTGGCGATTCTGCTAAGTATTTCAGGATGTTTCACTGGGTAATTTATGAAAGGGAAAACTGTATTTTCCGTGAGCATTAGAGGAGAGCCAGTTTCCTCTGTCCATAATTCCCGTGTCCCTGTTTATTTCACTGTAGCAGACTTTCTCTATATTGTAACTTTCATAAGTCTCTTTTAATTCTGACTGTTTCAATCAGCAATAGATCAGAAATTTTTGAGGTAATCACAGGATTCATCTCTAGCCATGATAACCATGATAATTTTAGAACTTAATTCGAAGCACTATTTCATACAGTGGCAGTATAACATCGCACCAGTGAGAACACTGGAGCCAGAGGGAGCTAGTTTCAAATCTTTTCTTTGCTAAGCCCTTGATCTATAATCTTGGAGAATTACTTAACATTCTGAACCTATGTGGTTTTGTTTTTGTTTTTGTTTTTGTTTTTTGTTTTTTAGAGAATTGTCTTTTTTCTTCTTCTTTTTAATGTTTATTTATTTTTTTCCGAAGGAGAGAGAGACAGGCAGAGCGTGAGCCAGGGAAGGGCAGAGAGAGAGGGAGACACAGAATCTGAATCTGGCTCCAGGCTCTGAGCTGTCAGCACAGAGCCTGAGGCGAAGCTTGAACTCTTGAACCATGAGATCTTGACCTGAGCCGAAGTCAGACACTTAAGTGACTCAGCCAACCAGGAGCCCCTGGATCTATGTCTTTGTCTATAAATTGGGACATTGGAATGTCCACTGGATGATGTTGATAATGTTGCTATAAGGATTCATGTGAAATATTGGCTGAAAATGCTAAGTACTGTACTTCAAACATAAGAACTCAATAAATTATAGTTATAATATTAGTAGTAGTAATATTTAGCATAGCTGAATTACCCAGAAAAGAATACATTTTACACATAATTGGAGTCACAAGACTCTTCATTGATCTCGCCGTAAGGATGACTATATGAATTCATTGATAGAATTCTCACCTATTTTTCCTTTACAACCTCCTAACCAGAGAAGAAATGTCTTACTGAAGTTATGCATACTTTTAAAAACATTTTTCATTTTTGAGAGAGAGAGAGCATGAATGAGGAGAACAAAAGAGACAGAAAAAAAAAAAAAAAAAAAAAAAAAAGAACGTTTCCCACAATGGGTTTGAGATGTCGGAAGCTCGATGGGTTTTCGGAAAATCTAAGAGACGGTCATGACCTGAGCGGCGGGCTGAAGTCGAGATCATGACCTGAGCCAACTGACAGTGTCTGACTGAGCCACCCAGACGCCTCTACATGCTTCTTTAAAAGTTCTTATTTACTAGAGATATTTTCTGAAGTATTTATGAGCAGAATGATGGGATATCTGGAATCTGCTTTAAACTATGCCAGGGAAAAAAATAAAAGGAGGGGATACATAAAAGAACATTGAAAAAATATGCATACATAAATAAAATATCTAGGAAACTATGAAGAAAAATCACTGATATTGACAGCCTAATTAGGATTCCGTTTCCCTCCTCCTCCCTGGATTTTTTATTTTCCTTTTTTCTGTGCCAGGTATCTGAGACCAAACTGAACATAGTTCATCTGTCACTTAAAGTTTTGCTCTGTGATACAGTTCACCAGAAAAGCTCAGCATGTAGCAAATATATCCTGGTCAAATCAGCTTGTAACAAACCAATGCTACTTACCTTTATCACGCAAGTGCTACCCAACATCCCTTGACTGTAAGTGCCAGAAAGCAAGATTGCTGCCTGAATTCACCATGGCGACTTTCGCATAAATAGAATCTCAGGAAAGTGTTTTTGATAATGAATTAATAAATGCTGAAATTACATCTCAAGGAAGAGGACACTTTATCATTCCCCACAGTGACTCAATTATTTTGTATGCCATCAATATTCTAGTGGATTAAGATGAGATACAGATGTGTGCTTGTTGACATGGCACATTTTTCCTTTTTTAATGTTTATTTATTTTTGAGGGGGGGAGGGGCAGAGAGTGAGGGAGACACAGAATCTGAGGCAGGCTCCAGGCTCTGAGCTGTCAGCCCAGAGCCCGATGCGGGCTTCGAACACACAGATAGTGAGATCATGACCTAAACGGAAGTCGGACGCTTAACGAACTAAGCCACCCAGGCGTCTGGACATAGCACATTTTTCTTGTGAGCTAGTTACCTTTTATGGATTGTCCTACGAAGAAGTGTCTTGGAAAGACATATGTGACCGTGTAGCTAAAACACCCAAAGATACACCCAGGACTAGAAAGAACAACATTCTTTGAAGGAGGCCTAAGATTGAGCTAGATTTCTCAGACTTCAGATATTCACCTTCACACCCCACCCACGAAACCAAGGACCAAATAATCATCCATTGTGCTTGGGGTCAATACTCATAAGATGCTCCCTAAGCAGTCTGGGACCTGGTGATGAGCTCTACAAATCCTGTACTCCCTTCAAATACTTTTTTTTTTTTTTCTTAAAAAATCCTCTGCACTTAATATCTATAGGTAGGATTGCCATCACTGTGGTAGAGTCCCCTTCCTAAGGAAAGAAAACAAAAACAAAAACCTCAAGGCAACCGGGCTATATATGACAACATCCTTCACGATCTTGTAACATAAGAACACTTAATCAGACTACATATTTGTGTGTTACCGTTTATGGGAGACAAGGAAGTAGAAAATACATTTTAAAAATTATACCACGTGGTGTTCGGGGCTCAGTTCTTCGGGTGCAAACCCAACTGAGGGGTGCCCGCAGGAATAAAACTGCTTCCTGGAAAAAAAGCCTCTGTGTCACGATTCTCTGTGCAAGAATCCTGCTACATCATCAGTACCCCCCCCCCATTTTATATACTCTAATAGAGCACTCTATTGATTTTCCATTCCATTAAAGTTATTCCCTCTCTCCAACAAATTACAAGCTCTTTACGAGTAAAGTTGGATCCCCTTCTATTAAGAAAAGCTTATTCTTTCCTATCGCCCTGGAATACCATATAGGTTATAATATTCTGCAAACAGTAGGCAGTTAATACTTGAGATTCTTAGCTACTAAAACATCACCAGCATAAGCTGGATTTTAAAAATACAAAGGCATTTAAGGAAAATATGTCTTCGTTCTTTATTTTGAGAAAGTGGAGCTAATGCCCAGAAAATGTAAGAGATTTACTAAACGTCTCTTTTCTACCTGAAGCCAGACAAGAACTCAGCTCACTATTCTTCTTCTCCAACTTAATGCTCTGTAATTTTCATTTTTTTTAATTTTAAAAAATTTTGTTTAAGTTTATTTATTTTGAGAGAGAGAGAGAGAGA